TGTCGAGCGCACCGCGCTCTCATCGCATACGGTGACCGGGGGTCACCGTAGCGGCATTCGGCGAGTTGGTATTGCCGGAAACGATGCACTTATGGGGGTGCATCGTTACAAATATATATAATGATAAAAATCAATTTTTTTTAAATATAAGTATTTTATGAATTCAAGAATATTTGTGCAAAGTAACATTGAGATGGTATTAGTTGTTCAATAAAATAAACAAAATATTTATTTGTTATAAACTAAATGGTTAATCTCAATGAAACTTTGCATAAGTTAATTTTAATACTTGAAGTACATATACAAAAAATTTATCTTTATCCTTAAAAAAAATTTTTGTTTATAACAATGTAAATAATAACAAATAAAATAACATGTAAAATAAATAATCTACAAAAATATGTTGCTGTATAAAAATAAAATATAAACACAACTTTCATATGTACGTATGTATATATTTTGTCTAAAGCGTAAATATATTAATATATATTATGTGTGTTTTATACCTTTACAACCTTCTTAAGGCTGGGTATATAATAAGCATAATACTTTATTGTACCTACATAATATTTTGTTACAAATAGTATACAAGATGTTCCATAATTGGAAAAAAACCAAGTACAATTTTGTACATGGACAAAAGTTAACACTTTCGAAACTTTTTGAGAATCTAATCTACAAGTAATTATCCTTAATAAAAATCTGACAAATTACAATAATAAAAATAACAATAACAGCATCTATTTTCAAGAGTATTAACTTTTAATTTTGTGTTTTTAATATTGATATACTCATGTATTCTAACGAATTTAGTAGTGTTTGCATGATTTAATACGTTAATAAGTTTTATATACTACATAATATACTGTTTTAGATATCATCTTCAAAATTTGATTCCAACATTTCCACTGACGGAAATCTCACTCAACAACAATTCAACGTGATGACGGTGAAATGGATGGCAAAAAAATACTTACCTTTCTCATTCTTCGACGATAATTTTACTACGGATTATTTCAAGTTGATTACTCCAAACTTAAAAGTCCCAAATCGGAACACACTGAAGAAACTAGCCGAACAACTTTTTGAACGAATGCAGAACAAAATTAAAGATGTTTTAGCAGATAATACCTCTGCTATTTCGTTTACCATTGATAGATGGACAGCAATTAACGGAAAGTCATACTACGGCATTACAGGGCATTTTATTACTGATGATTTTAAATATCATTCCATTGTTTTGGATTTTGTTGCTTCAAACGGTAAGCATTCTGGTGTGGAAATTGCCAAAATGTTTTTTACTTCCCTGAAGGGGTATGGTATTCTGCATAAAGTGCAGGGTATTACAGTTGACAATTGCGCAGCAAACTCAACTTTTATCCAAGAATTTACCAATTTAATGGCCAACGATGGATTTCAATTTGATTCACAAAATCAACACTTTAGATGTGTCGCGCACGTTTTAAACCTGGCAGTCCAAAGTGCGATAAGCCTCTTCAAGGTATACAAAGAAGATAGAGAACTTGAAGACGACGATGACAGTGATAATTCCAATGATGAGATTGAGGAATGCGACCAACTTTCGCCATTTTTCAAGCTTCGAATGATTTTTAAAAAATTAAAACGATCCGAACAGCTACAAATTGAATTCAGAAATTTTTGTAATCTTTTTTCTGAGAAATGTTTCACCGATTGTCGATGTATGTACGAGATGGAATTCGACGTACAACATGCTCAAAACTGGTTTGGGTATGAAACGATCCATCAATGCTATTTGTGCTGAAACGGATTTTAGTCAATGGCAGTTAATAGAAAATGAGTGGGAAGTTATGCAAAAATTTGCATCTTTCTTGAAGAATTTTGCTGTAATATCAACGTTGATAGGAGGAGATAAATATGTCACACTGCCCATGGTGGTCTTGACGTACAACATGGTTTTCGATAAAATAGAAGCAACTGCCAAGCAGTTGGAGCAACAAGATACCCAGAATGTATTGGAAGATTCACTGATGGACGCATATCAAGCAGCATATGACAAAATGGTGTGCTACTATGCCAAAACAAATTGGATATGTTGCGTAGTATTAATATTGGACCCAAGGCACAAAGTCGAAACTTTTAATCTAACCAAATGGGGCAAAGAAATCATCGATACTTTAGAAAGGTTCAAAAACATTTTCAAGGAAAAATATTATGTCGCACCACTGCAAGATGTCCAACCAGTACTATCGAGCGATGACGAAGATATAGACATAAAAAGGTTATTTATGGACAGGACTGTATGGACGAATGAGATAGATTCATATTTAGGAAGCTGTAGAGTGAACAAAGACGTTGACATTATTGATTGGTGGAAAAATAATCAG